GGTAATGAGACATTTATCTCTTTCGCATCTATTAAAAGTCAGTTCTAGTGTCAAAAATCAGTTGGAAATAACATGAAGTTTAATGATGAAATGTGTTTATTTTGGATGCTTGTCACAGCTCCATCAAATCCTGGGGATTCTTTTTCACTTTGTTTTGGTGTATTTTTGCCTTGCTGCAACATGTGTCCAGATGATCTCGCTGTTTTTCTGAGAGAACCATACAGTAGTGTGACTATTTAGACTGTGTAAAGAAGTTTAAAGAAATAACTTTCAGGACAATAATTAACATACCGTCATTTTAAGTAATTGTTTTCCAACACTTTTCTGTGTGTGGATCCTTTAGGAGTTTTTTTTAGCAGCAGATCCCTCTCTATCTGACTTAAATCTATTGAAAACAGACTTGCTTTTATTCATGGTCACCTTGAAGCAGTCCACAAAAAAAACCACGTATAAATAGCAGCCTGGTTGGACTCCTCTGCTGCTGTAGAGAAAGAGTCCACATAGAAGTAATTGTGGTAAAATAAAGCTATTAGTCAGAAAATATGGGCTCTGCATGTATTTCTGGTCCTGACACAATTCATTTTTCCTGATTGTGGACTGAGTACTTAATGTCATACTTATGCAGGTCAACAAGCACTTTCCTTAACCTGTCTGTATAGAAGCTTGTGTGGGTGCTAGATGAATGCAGTGGGGGGGGCTTCTGTTGGCATTTTTTTTAATCCCATGGGATTTATTATACCTTTCAATGGGTTTTCAAACTGTTGTATAGCATTCTGCAGGTGGAATGTAATTTTCCTAGGGAGGTCTAAAGTACTTGACAACTGGTGTAAAAACAACTCCCTCCTTTTAGGTTTATAAGTATAATTCCTTTAAAGAAGCTGTCTGGTGCCTTAAGCACCTCCATCTTGTTAGTTATAAAAGAGGGGGAATGGCCAGGATATCAGAAAGGCTTGTTGATGTGAAGTGACCCTGAAACTTATTCCAGGAAGTTTATTTTCAGAAAGTGTTGATTATTCATACTTTGAGAACCCTTTAAAGTATTTATGATTCATACCAGACACTCCTTTCAATCTTAATTGACACCCATCTCATTAAGGTGACAAAAGACTAAATACATTGATGCAAGGAATGTTTTGACTTTTTAGCTGATAAAGTGCTAATTATAAGAACAGCAACCTGTCTAGTAACAGAAGTACAGATAACAAACATTGGAAGGTTACTATTCCAGAGCAGTTACGTCAGCTGGCTTCATGGATGAAACATCTTTTCCATGGAAGAAATTGCATCCTACATGGAAGGGATTCTCTTCTGTACTGTACAAATCCTACAATTGTCTTTACCTACCCATTTCCTTTCACTCTTCCGTTCTTGCACAGAAGTTATTCTCCTCATTTGGCTCCTGCTGTACTATAAACAATGCTATCCTTTCTTCCCCCTATCGTCCTACACCCACTTTTGAAGAACTATGGTTGTTAAGATTACAGTGCTCACAAGGCTAGAGGGGGAGGAAAAAGTGTCCCTTCATCTTCCTTTAGGGATCTTCTATTGTTCTTTGCATTACATAAGTAATTTTTTCCAAAGGCATGTTCATGTTCATTTTAATACCTTTCAACATAAACACTACTGCTGTGCTTCTTGATGCTCTTCCTAGCTTTTTGTTTAAAAAGGCAATGAAAGTTAGCGATTAAATTGGAGAAAATTATTTATTCTCATTGTATACTGTGAGTAAAACCTTCAGTACCTTGCACAGGGACTGCTTTGTGATGAAAAGGTACAAGTGCTCCAAAATGGCAGAGGCAGTGACACTGCTCTGTTCCATCTCCTTCCTCCCTTCTCCCCAGCACTCAGGTTTTACAGACATGGATGCTGACTCTGATGTGTCACATACACTGCAGAACCAGGCATGTGTCTTTCACAGGCAGTGTGTGGAAAATGACAGCCATCACATTATTTCAAGTGGTACAGAAGTCATTCTTTCATGTGCCAAACTACTTTTTGCAGGCAAGAGTTGGCCCTGTGTTAGACTCTTGTGGGTAGAAGGATGGATACACATGGTCTTTGTTTTCTAATAAATGTGTGATTCTGTACAGTGTGGGTTTTTTTTTGGGGGGGGGATGTTGTTTGGTTTTGTTGGTTTCTTTTAAACGTGGATCATATTTGGCAGCATGTTTGAGCTATGGAGTTCAGCTTCATAAAGTTCTAGTGATTATTCCAGGGCTCTCACCATGTCTCACCCAGCTTTGTCAGATACATTCTGTTTGCCAGGTCTTCTACCTGGTTTATGCTTGAATACTTAACAGGTATCATCTGTGCTTAACAGAAGCATCATCTGGGAGGTTGAACAGTGCACAAGGGAGAAGTGAAAAGCTCACAGTGAACAATAATTAGGAGGTACAGCAAAGGATGATTTGATAGTTATGAATGAGGTTTCTTCATGAAGGAAGGTTGCCCAGAATAGCTCCTCCTACTTGCAGCAACTTCCAGTACTGTATCATCTTTAGTGATGGTATTTAGGATATGTATTTTTGCTGCTTCAACCTGGATATCCAAATATTTCACATTTCTAAGTAATTTAGAAATTTTGATTTGGCTCCATTTTGCATGCTCCTTAATTTAAAAGTTGATAATTTGGATACACTGTACTCTCATTTTGCTCAAATTGTTTGGAGGCTGCATAGTTGCCACCTAACCAAAAAGACTATTGTAGTTGCCAGAAAGGAAATCTCTGCATATTTTGCCCTCACCAGATCCTTTTACAGGGAATGGGTGGCATCCTGGATACTGTTTCTTCAAGCTGTAAATCAGTTTAAAAGCAGAATTTCATTTTGCTGTTACTGCCTTTCTGGCTGTTTGGAATGTAGTTGCAATGTGTGTCTGATCTTCAGGGATATCCGTAGGAAGCATGTGTTACTGATTGAACTTAATTGGACTTTCAAAGAATTTCTCCTTCATTGCAGACCAATGGAAAGAACAGTCCTTTGCCACTCTGAATTAACATTAGATAAGAATGGTTCATGTCAGAGTTACTTATCTAATGGCAACACCTACAATTGCTGCTATTCATGATAATGTTTGCTCCAGTATACTTATATCCAGGTTTGTGGCTGTTTTGTGGTGCATGGACGATCCATGATTTTTCTTGAGCAATCCTGCTGGAATTGCTATATGTGTCTCACTCACTGTTCTCAGCTTTTGACTCTATATTCTAGCAGAAACCACCCAGGACTTTATTTTCTGAAGAGGTCTGAATTTTATTTTGTCTTGTTTTGTTTCTCTTTCCAGACCCATTTATTTGTGTGGCTGAGGGTAGGGCATGACTTGAGTTTAAAAGCTTTTATGCAGGTAAACAGTCTGTCACATTATAGGCAACGTGTAGTCAGCATTTGCCCCTCAGAAATTAATACAGGGTGGAGGTGAAACTGTATTTTCCTTAACAGCACTGGCATCAGAGCAAAAAATAGACATTGGATAGGTATGATCTAGAGTAAGTATAGGACAGAAATGGAAAATACAGCTGTGCCATTGGTAGCGTGCCTCTTTTTTTTTTTTTTTTTTTTTTTGTTATTAGAGTTCCTTTGCAGGGAGGCCAGCACATGGGTAGAACAGGGTTCCTCTTCCCACTTTACTGACAGTAAGTGAGAAATTAAGCACTGAATGACACAGGAAGACAGAGAGCCAGGCCAGGCATGCAGGCAAAATGTGTGCTGGTAGAAGAGGCTTTAGGGTGTCAGTGGTGCCAAATGATACCTGGCTGGTATGCCCAGTGGTGTTATGGCATGGCTGCAGGTTACACTATCCAGAGTGGTGGGGTTTTTGTACTGACTCGAGGGAAACAAGGGTCAGAAACTGAGGACAGGGTGAAGAGCACTAAGGTGTTCCTAGCCCCAGTCTTGGGAGCCAGAAAGCAGTGAGGCATGTTGCTTTCTGAGACAGAGGAAGAGGTGGGAAAGTTGAAGGGCATTTTACCCCCCATAGCAACATTGTGACAGGGAGGGAAAAATTCTTCACTGACTGGCCTACCAGTAAGAATATATCAACATATGCATAAGTCTTGTGACTGAAAAAAGGACCAGTAGGTTAGAAAATATTAGAATCCTAGAATGGTTTGGTTGGAAGGGACCTTGAAGATTGCCTAGTTCTGAGCCCCACACCATGGGCAGGGAGACCTTCCACTGGAGTAGTAGCACACCCACTGTGTCTGTACAAAGGGGTATCCACAGGCTGTGTCCTTGGCAAGTGCCAAAGAAGGCACCCGACTAAATAGTAAAGGCCAAAGTTCTGAGACAGATTTCTTTGTATATGACAATGTTTGTACTATCCTGCCTCTCAAGTAACTTTGAATTAAACACAACATAGTAAAAGTAATATTAGAACATTCATATACATCAGTCAAGCTGTCATTTTTGTGGCAAGCTAGAAAAATTTAGCTCTTCCAGATTTCTATGGTATTTTTAGAAAGTTTAAAACACTCTTGAAAACATTCAAATACAATGAGTAGAAGTTACTTTGCATAAGTTGCATGCAGAGTGTTTTCATATTTGTCTTTATTTTAACCTGTTATGGAATCTAGTACCTTCTTGACACCAAGTGAGTCTGAGTAAGATGTATTAGATCAAAACATATTCCTGTCTCCAAATGCTAACAGCAGCACATTCAGTTCTCTGGATTTCAGCAGCTAAAGTAGGTGTTGCAGAATTTTGGCACTGCTTCTCTTTACAGAATGATAAACACAAATTATGTTGCCTTGGGTTTCATATAGACATGGAGGATCTTGTCTTATGAAAGCTGATTCATAGACAAATGGTGACTGTGAGCTTTAAAAGATAACAAAGCTAGTTGAACTGATGGGCTAGAAATAATTGTCAAATTTTCTTGCTTACCCCAGGGTGGTAGTTTCTTTTATTTTAAACTGAGAGAGCATTTTACTGTTTATTTTTTTCCTAACAGTTGCATAAGATTATTGTATTCTATAACACTTGCTGTTTTTTTTTCTTTTCCAGGAGGACTCCAGAACATACCTGTAGAGCTGCAGCTTCTGTTTCTCCGAGCTCTGCCAAAGGTATGTAAATGGATGTTATTCTCCTCTGTGTTCATCTAAATTGCACTATGGAAATTTCCAGAAAAGTAACATTCAAATCTATTGGCAGGATATGACTACTTCCGTGATTTTTGAATGCAGTGTTTCAAACACAATTCAAAGGTCTTCTCCAGAGAGTTGCATTGAATCAGAACTAAGCTTGAGAATTCAAGTTAATGCATACAACAGCCATCATGCTGCTTGTACACTGTTGTAAGTGGCATTCGAGTTTAAGCTCTCTGATAATAGATGGCAGATGTTTCAGAGGCTGAAGAACAAGAACAGAGCTGTTTAAGAGCAGGTGGACACTGGTTTCAAAGTGTCTGTTAATTAATGATTCCACATATAATACTCTAACTCCTGAGCAAAAAATGTGGCATAAGGGAAGCACTGTCTCCTTCCCTTGCCAAGTCTGGGAGTCTTCCTCACTCTCTGCAAGAATGTCTGGGTTTCTAGTTGGGCACTGAATCAAGACTGTACTGTTCCTCCTCAGCAACTGGGTACCTGAAGGAATTTTACCAGGAGAACTGCCTAACATAGAGAAAGTGGTTTCAGCAAATGTGTAAAGTTTTGACCTAAAAATAGGATAATATGATAAATAAGAACCCGATGTTCAAAGGTTCAAAGCTGTCTTTGCTGTCTAGTTGGTTGTATAACTTGGAATAATTGAAATAGCTTTTATGGTGATAATTATTAACATATGATTGCAAAGTTAAGAGTAAAGAATAGTGTTTTTCTATAAATGTCACTGTAAATGCCCATAATACAGCATAATAATTTTTTTAACAAATGTAAAGTGCCATGTAGCCTAATGATTTATGTATATATATAAATATATATATATATAAAAGCAAAATTCCTGAGTAAAATTCTAATTTCTAATGAGCTGTACATGTCAGCTTGACAGTGCCTGCTTAGTAACAGAAAGCAATATATGATGAGGAACAGTAGGACTCTTTCTTGGGTTTAATCATATTTTTGAGGTTTTTTTCTTCCCTTTGAACAGAGGGTGGGAAGTGGTTCCTTTGAACTATTGTACCACATAAGCTTTGACTGCAATTTTTATTCCTCTCTGTACATTTTAAGTATACACTACCCTCTTATAGCTGGAGCTGGTGGTGGCCTGGGTTCTCAATGAGCCATAGGAAGGGAAGGTTCTGGTTCTCTCTTTCAGTGGTACAGGAAATGTGAACATTTTCTAGCTCTGCATTTGCAATGCCGGATATTCCCTGACCCTGGATGAATTCACCAGTGTTTTTCTGCCTCCACAGACCCCTCTTTTCAGTGTGGAAGAAAGAACTGAGAATGAGTCGGAATTCATTTCCACAAAGTTTTCCCAAGTAATTCTCAGCCACCCATGGGTTTTCCTGGAAGACTGGTATACAATAGGCCTTTGTCTCCAAATGGATTTATTTATTATTTTTGAATCTAAATGCCTAGCTTGACCCCAATTTTAAAGGGCTTCTTAGTCCCCAAGGCTTACCAGTTCATCCTTGAAACAAACCTTTAGAAGACATGACTTTTCTGTGAACACACAAGGCATCATAATTTAGTTCATACCAGAATGAATGCAAAATACTCAAATCATATCTGAGTCCAAATTGATTGCATTTTAAAGAAACCAGAGACAAAGCAAAAGATCTATGAAAGCAGTTTTATGGTTTCTAAAGAAACACATTGTTGTGAATTAGGTGTGTATTCCCTGACAAAACTAATTCATGGGTGGAGGGCACACTTTCAGCAGCAGGTTCAGCGTTCCTACAAGCTGTGAGCTCTGAATTGATCATGTAAGATTAATTGCTCAGTTTCCTATTCTTTTGATTATTTATTTGAGTACTTGAAACTGTGTTCTTTACAGGCAATATAAAACAACAAACAGATCTCCATCTTCTCTTTGTTTCAAATTCATTTGCATTAAGCACAAAGGCATTGTAGCACTTTCCCAGCTCATGATGCAGTAGTTAATATAATTTGAAAATAATGTTCCTCAAACAATGAGGGCTTCACCAAAAGATTTACATTCTCCTGTGAAAATCCTCTCACATGTGAGCCCTGATACTTGATGAGCTGGAAAGTTCATGAAAATTATTACATCTTTAGTAGAAATGTTCCTGACACCAGTTACAGCAGGTAGAGAGCTGGGGACAGGTTTTGGTGCAAGTGCTGAACATTTGCAACTGGGTGGGAATTTCTGTAAAGAATTCAGCTTTCAGTCATATAGGGACAGATTTTCTAAAGTGTTTCTGTACTTATCTTTCTGAAAGCCTCTGTTCCTAACTCATTTGCAACAAGCAGCCTTTCTCCTCCCTGCCCCTTTCTTTAGATCTGTAATAACCACCACTTGATGAATTATGCACACCTTTCCTCCCAAGCAGATCATAATTTACACCAAATCTGAACTCTGGAAATTGTGTTGGTTACAAGTAAATAGATGTTGACTAGTACTGAAATCTTGCCATGCATAATCTTGAGCATGAGAGAAGAGATAGTTATTAGCTTGTCTGTTCTACTGCCAGGCTGATGTAGCTGTGGTCCTGCAATGTATTTCTGTACTGCTTGGTCCAGTCTCCTTTTAAAGACTGTAGTGGTGACATATGTTTTATGTCACAGAAGAAACTGTATAAAGTGCAACAGGTTTCACTGCTATTTTTCCTAATCGAGTTGTCTTTTGCTTGAACTTGCTCCTACCAGATTTAGCTATTCTTCTTTCTTAATGCACACTGCCAGCTGGGAAAACCTTCTCAGTTCATCTCTTAGTCAAGTTCTCTTTCAAGGCTAAGACATCAAGAGTACTATTATTGAAACTGTATTATAATTAATAGGAAAGAGAACCTGATCCTAGGATGCAGTATTGGAAATGGATGGCTGGATGGGCACCCCCCAGTACTCCTTATTTCACAGCCCCTACAGGCACACCACAACAGTATATCTTTATATCCTTGGATTTCATGGCAACAGGGCACAAGTTGTTAAGATTATGGGATAAGACTTGTCATCACCAGTCTCACCATTAGGAACAACCTGATATAGAAACAACAAACCCCAAAGTTTTCCTTTCACACAAATTGTGGAAATTTGTGATGTGGTTGGTTTGTCTCCATGAGTTCTAGCATGAGACTCGATGACACATAGGCCTGACACTCCTGCTGTCCTTGTTGCATTTTCTCCATTAGCATTACTGTTCATTGGCCCTGAGGCCAAGACATCATTCATTCATTCATTGCTTGAGCAGTTGCTGCTTGTGTGATGTGCTTGTGCTGGTGAATCATTCAGCTCCTGTTTGGTGCCTGAAATGAAAACTGTGCATCTGATCTGCCAGTAGGGTTTCTATTTCACAAATAGTTCAGGACATGATACAGTCAAGCCCACAGGAAAATCATGCCAAGACCAGTGTGAAAAGAGGACAAGACCATTCTATGCTCTTCAGCCATCATTAAGGAGAAAGCGAAGATATGGAAGATTTGTTTAAAATGTTGTGACCTTGGGAGTCTGGAGATAGATAACAGAGGGGAGATAAGGTACAGTGGCTGTAGCTGAATGCAAACACATCCATAATGCTAAGCTCTCAAACTCTATCCTGTTTCAAACATGGAAAGAGTAGATAAGGCCATTTCCGGTACTGTGATGGCTCATTAGACTACTTCAGCTGTTGGATCCTTTAGCTTTGAAAGTGCAGTGTCACGAAAAACTGCATTTTGTTTTATTCCAGAAGCTTCTGACAGTCAGCAAGGATTGTATCCAAACAGTTCACTGTGTATTAGCACACAGCTTGTTCCAGCAAATGCATTAGTACCTATTAAACATTTACACAGCAGCATAAAGTTAGACAAGGATTCACAAACATAAATAAGACCTGTTCTTTGCACTGTGGAGTCACCAGTCTCAATCCTGCCTAGATAATAACATAGAGAACAGCTGCTTAGAGGAGGAAGGGTGAGAAATGTCTGAAGGAAAAGTGATTTCTTAGAAGCTGGTGACTGGAGAAGGGGATTTACAGGTCTAGGAACTAACAAATCAGAAGGTGTAAAAAGAGTGAAAATGAGAAATGAAGCAAGATAATGAGTTTAGGAGGTAGTAAAGAATGGAAAAGAAATTGTTAACTATGAGATAAGCTTGAATATGAAATGGCCAGGAATGGATAGGAGAATTTTCTCTTGCCAGTTTTTAACATTCAAGCGATGTGTTCAGTATGCAGATCTGATAGAAAGTGTCTTGCAGGTATTGAGGATGGGACAAAATGGAATAACGTGTTTGCCTTTAAAAGCAGTTTGTATAGTTTCTTTGGTATGTCTTGATCAAAATGCAGGTTCTTTATTACTTTTTGGTCTTTGGAGCTCTACACCTTTTTTTTTCCTTCTCTGTGCTCCACCTGGGAAGCTTCATTTATTGTTTGGTGCTTCCAGAACTGAATTTCTTTTCCCTAGATTAATACTGAATTCTCGAGACTTTTCGCGGCTTTTCCTTTTTATTTTTAACAGCACTATCAAGGAATGAAAACCAAAGAGTGGTACATATATTTTTATCTGTTGCTTGCAATATGTTCTATATGGAAGCTACAGGAAACAGTGCATAATGAGCTTCCTGCCAAACGAAATCCAAATAAATCCCTAAGTCTAGTGAACTGTATAGGAAGAGAAAAATAGTGGTGTTATAGCATGAGCAGACATGAAGCAGAGCTGTCTAGGGCACTAAGTAGCCCAAAAAAAACCCCCAAACCAAAACCAAAAAAAAATTCAAGAAACCACAAAAACCCGACAAGTAATAAAAATACACCCTCAAAACCCCTGATGTTCTTTCTGCTCTTTGAAACCAAACCTGTCCAAGTGGAAGTGTACACGAAGCCATGAAATAGTTGGTGCTGAGAAAGAACTGCCATCACTTGTTACATTCCTCCTTGCAGTCTGTTGGCAGTATTGGGAGCAGCAGGACTCCCCAGCAATTTTGACACAGCCATATCTCATATCACATACAAACTTGACCAT